AGGCACAAGTATAACGTCATGTCAAAACCTGCAACCTCTTAGCTATATATGACGCTTTATGTTCAAAAATTTTATAGGCACCCAATAAAATATCGAAAAGCCGAAAGTCACTTTGATGTAAAATTATAATCCCGCCATCTTGAGTCAAAATGGCAAGATTAGTAGTAAAGTATGATATTATTTAGATTTAGCCTCTTAGGTATCTAAAATTTCTTTATTCCTTGAAATTATTTTATTACTATTATTACAAAAAGTTCCTAATGCGTCTTATATTAGACTACTAGAAACATAACTGTTCTACTCCAAGAACATTAAAAAAATAACTTCCTTCACAGTAGCTAATAAAAAAAACATAGTCGAAACACAAATAGTCTCTAACCATCAATCTCTCAAAAAGGGAGCGATCCCACGCTCTCGACGCTTATCGATGTAATAACGCAAAGTAAGTAAAAATCATAACAATTCAAATAAAACAAACTGCAAAAGAGGCTAACAAAGCTGTCGTCAACCAGGCAGCATTACTACCTATACCTGTGTGGTCGATGCCTTCTACGTGGATAGCTACCATCAGACAGTCCAGAGTCGTGGGAGAAGCGTTTGTCACGCTGTGCAAGAGTGCGCTCTTCCACGCTACTCTCGCTAGTGTTTGGAAGCTTACTGGCGTGCTTACGTGACCGTCCTCCGGCGTCCACCACTAGAGGCCTGCGAAATAGTACATTACACTGTTCCATAACATGGCGATGCGAGTGATTTCAGTTCTCTAGTTCTAAGAAGAACCTGCTCTACTCTGCGCTGAAGGCCCTAAGAAGTTTCATCGCTTTTAGGAAGACCTAACCAGGTAAAGTGATCAATGGAATTTCCAAGATTTGGTAGAATGGCATATTCATTCGAGATTGTCACTATTTAGGGAGAATCTCGCGGTAATACTGACCTTTGTGCATCGTTGTTCATAAATTCTTTTGATAATACTGACCCGTGATTGTCATGATTCGGCGAGGGTCTAGCGGTGCGCATGAATCGATCGAGGTCGATGATATCGCCGTGAGGCGCCGCGCCTGACCACGAGCCTGACGATGACCGAGACATCGCACCTAATGTAACAACATACAATCAAACCTAATGTAAGTATTATTCCCATACCCGGACGTTTCAACAGGAATTCCCTGTCAAATACAGGTTAGCGCGTTCGGTAAATCGATAAAAGGCGGTACTTCGCGGAATTCTAATTAGGTTAGTAGACTACTCTTTTATTTTATAAATAAATAGTATGTTATTATCTGAGAAATAATCTAGTACTAACATCATGTCTACAATTTTGTACTTGTTACAAGTTTCGGAGATATGGTACTGTTTGTAGGACTGCTGCTCGTTGACCGAAAACACTGCCTATAAATTCCAACCACGAAGTGATTTCACATCTCGCTGCGGTAGCGAAAAACGTACGGGCGACTGGGCCATCTTTGTTATTTGTGCGTTTTTATTTATATATAGTTTTCGTAATGAAAGTTCTTACGTTTTAGGTTAATGCCTTATGTATTTAAGCAATTGTTTGTAATCTATTATATAATCTTTTCTTATTCTAAGTTTTCAAAGCGTAATATTTTCCAAGTCAGTGTAATTAAATCTATTTTGTTAAATATTTATAATTTAAAATGGTTCATACTTTCAGAACATATACTAGAAACCTGCAGTTTCACTTGTAAGACACAACACTTTCAAAACTTCACTTACCCTACGAAGACGTATACATACATGAATCCAAAACGCACATACCAGGAGCAGACAATAGCGAGTTATCGGAAGGTGATGACAAAAGTGATAAAAGAGTTAATTACACTACACTTTCCTTTATACTAACAACAATCATCATAAATCAGCTTGGTAGGTATTGTCACTCTCCCTGACTAACTACCAGTTGCACAAACGTCCATTAAAACTGTCATTAGTTTAAAGCGTCATTACCCATACATTTTGGACATTCATTAGAGCTAATAGGCATCATTAAACCTTAATGGAGGTTTGTGCACCTGACCGTTAGAGACTGAATTCCGCCATTAGACCAATTTTAGTGCCAACAATCAAACATACGACAGGTTAAAGAACAAGGAAAGTACCTGATAACAAATCTAGGCTTGTAGCCGGGGTCGCCGCCGAATTTTGTTGTTCCGCATCGCGATACAACGCGACGCCAGCGTGTCACGACTGTCAACTGCCAAGTTTGGCACGTTTCAAATCTTCATATAGTGAAAACTTTTTTGTGCGACATTTTACTTTTTTATTTGTATGTTTGCAAACTTTTTGTTTCAAACACTCAATATAACTGGATGTTCTTCAAAAAATTCTGTCAAAAATTATAAAAAAAACTTAAAATGTATCTTAACCTATCTAAAAGCTTCTTGGGAACCACCGTGCCAGTCAGATTCAAATATTAAAAACAGCATTGTATCCATGATTTCTTGTCGTACACCATATAATAAGGATCGTATAGTACTTGGCTACACACAATAAGAACTCGTCTACACACCACCAACTTTCTTCTTAATTGAAAATAACTGTAGCGTGAAGAACACATTACATCAATATGCACAAACTTACTAACGTTGCATTTGTAAGTGCGTTGTGAAAGCTTAGGGTCTATTCCTGCTGCCGGAGAGTCGAAGTGCATGCAAGCGTCAAATTCTCCACAATTACCTAAAGCGATTCGCACGAATTTGTACGCTTAATCCTTATCTCAAAAATATTCAATATTCACATTTCTGCAGACAAAAAAAGGTCACATCAATAAAAATCGCAGACTCCACTTATTTCAAAAGAAATATTACGTAAAGTACATAAGATAAAAGTGGATTTGGTATCGAATATATATATGCGGTTGTCCCACGACTTCTCACGAGTAGATTATAGCCTATCCCGACTAGGGTTGCCAGATAGTAACTTATAAAATCCGGGACAATTCTACAAAAAAAATGTTGGCTCGTGGTTATAATAGAAAATATCTTAAATATATATTTTTTCGTATTTGTACAATATTTAAAAGGAAAAATGCCATTTATTTTCTTATAAAACACATATAACTTATAAAAAACAATCAGTACTTGACTGTTAGTAACAAAAATTTTTTTAGTACATAAAATAAACTTAAACCAATTTGAGCACCTCCTCGTAATGTTTTGTTAAGCTTTAGTAGGAAATCAGTACAAACAAATTATCCGCAGCCGTGTCATTCGTTGCTATTTTGTAAAAAAAATAATAAGTTTCCAGAATCCGGGACAATATGCGCTAATTACTGGACACGGGACAAGAGGCAAGATTCCGGGACAATCCCGGATTTCCCGGCGGTCTGGCAAGCCTAATCCCGACTGATGTAGCTGCCCGTAGGTGAGAGTTTTTAAAATCGGCTTCGGAGTCTATTCAATGCAAAGAAACAATGAAATATTTCGTCTTTATATTACAATATATTATAGATAAGAGAAACACAATTCTCATAAATACTTATAAATAAAATAAAACACAGACATAGTCACGGCAAGTTAATTGTATTATTTCAATATCAAATACATCACTCTAACAAATTACAATATCACCTAACGGGCTCGACAAAATCACCGCACAGCGTCACGCCAAAAACGATGTTATCGCTACTGATTTAAAGCTTAATATTGCAGTATGGTAGTTTCATCGAACCACACACACTTACTAATGAAAGTCAAATTAATTCAAGTACAGTCATCGGCAAAACCGATAGGATTTAATTATTTTAAGACACAATAAATCAACATGTTGTATCCATACTTTACGTTTAATATAATAAATACTAATGCCACTTTGTGAGTCTGTTACTCTTTGTCATCATAGATATAGTTTGAGGCCTGGAGAAAGACATCTAAATTTACATTTAGTCGCACATTGATGGAAATTCATTATTATTATTTTCTACTGTCGGAATGAAACACTTAATATGACCTGGGTTCTTACAGTTGCTCGGACTTATGAGGTCAAATTATCAACTATAACATTAAAGAACCAATTAAATGGTGAATTTCTAAACACGTTTGCTTACCTGTCCATTTTGACTGTGACTGTACTTTTATGAATAGCTAGTGTTGTTAAAACATGAATATTTGATAAACAAAACGACACCTCCTACTTATAATACCGTTACTGCATTTACCAGCTTCACAGCACAGTCACACAAAGATGTTAACAACTTCTTTATTACATTTTCACGACCCTTTTAAAAAGTTTTATCACGGGTATTTTTGAAAAACTGTTTTAATTTAAATATTACGCGCTAAAACCGTTCAAAAATACTTTTCAAGATTTGTTTATTGCCAATTATGACGACTTTATTATGAAGTTATCAACAATATCTGACTTCTAAAGAAACTCTATGATACTGTTACGTTATTATACATAGGAAGTGTCTAAAGATAAAAAACCATTTTATGGTATGACAAAAACAATATAAACACAATTATTTCTTTTACAAATTACACTATCATCAACGTTTGTTCACAGTGGTGTGGCTATGCTTGAGCAGACCCCGTATTAAAACGCCTCGCGAGGCGCTTTAGATTTTGCTACTTACAAGAACCTCTACTATCAGATCGACGAACTCGATAAATAAATCGACGAAACTCGATAAATAGTCATTAGTCCACACTACGCTACTGTTCATGCACATGACACATCATGTATTAAAAATTACCTTCAGAATATTATTTCATTCATTGTAGAGGAAAGTCAAACTGAAATTAGACGTAAGTGATTTTACTGTAAATTACAATTAAGGTACATGAAATTTTCATTGTTTCATTTTAATCCTTTATTTATGTTATTATGTAATCGTTAATATTCGGTTTGATTAAATTTTTGCCAGTTAGAAATACAAAATTCACTTAAAAAAGTGATTACCCAACAAATTACTCTACGATTTGAAATGTAAAAAGACGCTTGTGAAAAAGAAATGAGACATACATCAGTACATATTTTATTTTTTTGATCATAAATAGACCGCGATTATAAAAACATAAAACGAAAATGCATAAAAGCAATCTATTCCGAATCCGCTACAAACTAAATTATTAAAGCCAATGTCAGTAACCTGTGATTTCATTTAAATAAAAGTCATGTAATATAATAACTAAATTAATTTCTTAAAATATTGTAAACGTATAAAAATACAAAAGTTATTAACAAAAAAAAACGGATTGCTTTTTATTTCAATAATTTCAAATAAATGGTGGACTGTTATATTAATAATATACACACCCGTAAAGGCAACTTCGGCATATAAACTATAATTATCTAAACTTCTTGATCAGAGTATGTTTTAGAGCTTTTTACATAGGAATATTATATTGATAATAGGGATGACAACTGGGTAAAAAAAAATCTATTTAGTCTATCAATCAAATAATAGAAAAATATTAGACACGTATTTTTTTTTTATTCCATTTAAACAAAAATTGGCCTAGATAATAGTTATTAAAGTTGAGGGGTGGGGCTCGTTACGTAAGTTTTGTAGAAAAGGTACAAAAGCGTGACGTCATGCGAGATTTCATCTCAATGTATCGCCATAACTTAATGATTAAGCAAGTAATTTAAATAAATACATGTTTAATATTTTTCAATTATCTAACTGACGGACAAACGAAGAAAAATTACTCATTTATTAAAGATTAGTCATTGGTAACTTCATATAATGTTGCAGCATTTAAATTATATAATGTATAAAAGCAGCTCTAAAGCATGTCTTATCTGAAAGATTAAATTAGTTATAGTCTACCGATTATATAGCCTCAATGTAAATAATACGACAAAACATATAGATCAAATCAGAGATCGTTCAGTTTGAGGCGTCCTTAAATATAAGGTGTATAACTTTAACGCTTCAAAATGTAAAAAGCACATACAACTGCCAATTTATAAAAGTTACTCGCCTTTTAGAGAAGTATTGTTAAGTATTTCAATTCAATCTGTAAGCTTCTTTCAGCATAATTATTTTCTAATATGACCGCAATGACTTCCTAATAGTGTTGCAGCTATAATATATATCATATTTATACTTCGACTACCCAGATTCATACATATAATATCATCACCGAAGTAAGCCATTATGTAATAAACTCCGAAAGAAAATGAGGTCCAAATTCACCTTTAGGTACACATTTTCCGCCTAAAAAACGGTGACAGGGTGTCTTTATATTAGAAAGTCATTATTCCAATACAATAAAAACCTTATTAATTCTCTAAATAAGAAGCGTACAAATTATTAAACCGACATTCATCAATTTAAATACAACTAAATTGTTCGCCATTTCAATTCACAGAGTAAACAAGATGGCCGCCATCAAAGCATCACTCGTTATCACTGCTCCACTTGATTTATTCGATTATAGTATACTTCTAATAGTATGTACTTATGAAAACATCGTAGGTGGCATAAGTATTTTTATCAGACCAAATAATTGATAATGGCATGCGAAATTGAGTCTTGTAACGTTGTGTTAAGGATTATTTTCGGTCGGCGAGACGCCGGCGCGGGGTCACTGACTGTTAGCAAGCTCGTCCATGCGACACCTAAATCAAAAGAGCAACACTTAGGTAAAGCAGAACCATGTTTGTAACTCCCACCGATATACTAACGCAGATATTTTATGTTCGAAAGATATGACATTGTTTAAGCCAATAGCGTCACGTGTTCATTCGCTATTGGTTGATATGTGCATTCCATGTCCATGTGGCAAATTAAAATAGTCGTGACTTGTACTATGAATATAAAATTTAATGTAACACATTAGTCTATAATTTTAAGGGTGTTGGTACTTGTATTCTAACGGCTTTAGCATATGCGCGCCATATTCATGTGACACATGAATAGTCGCGTCACATAGTATTGTCGCGAGGTGTACAATGAATTTGAATCTTAACGTAAACACATTAAAGTTAATAAAGATGTTGGCAGTCGTGTACCAACGGCTATAGTTTATTTTCTTTTGGGATAATTAGATTGGTCAGTGCTACTTCTATTTTCAAAAATTGTATTACTTAAAGCTTATATTATCATTATAACGCCGCCTTGCTGTTGTACCTTTGGAATAAACAAGACTGCCTTTGTAATAACCCCGTGACAATGTGCTATCTATATATATAAAAACAGGAATTCAAATAGATTTATAAAATTGACGCGTCATTGTATACTAAGAATTATTTGAATCTACTACAGTTAGTAGAAATGTTTGCGTACCTGACAGCCATCTCAGCGACTTCTAAACTAGGATAATCCAACTCTTTCACCAGGCATAAAACAGCTGATAGTAGATTCGAATTCTGAAATAGAAAATAAAACTCGTTTGAACGATATGCAATGAGATCTCACATAATTTTACTTGCATTTAATTATACTTCAAGTCAAAAAGTTCGTTTAATTTTACTACATTTTCGTGGTATCATTTATTCAAAATGCAGTTATGGGTATGTTACTATATATCAACCACCCAACTTTTTCTAGAAATATCTTGAATAAATTAAACACCTTTCAGCTATTATTTATTATATATATTTAACGCCTTTTTAATATCGTTTTTTTTTTGTGACATGTAGAAAAAAATTCACTACATAGTATAAAACAAAGTCGCTTTCTCTGTCCCTATATCACTATGCTTAAATCTTTAAAACTACACAACGGATTTTGATAGATGGAGTGATTCAAAAGGAATGTTTTTATGTATAATGCAAGACCACGCGAGCGAAGACGCTAGCGGAAAGCTTGTATTCTATAAGAACTCCACTAAGGAAATCAACTCACCCTAGCGACCGGTCGTCTAGTGAAACAGCGATGTTCCGCCATCACAGCGGAGGGGTACTCCCTGTCTCGCTCTCGCGCCATCTCCCTATCCCGCTCCCATTCTGTCGCACCCACTGCGCTCACACTGCCGCGTTGTGGTACTTGCTGATACGACTCAGGCCTGACGTAATAATAAAACATATGTATCGTAAATTTCGAGACATATGACAAAAGAACAATGACCTAAAGTATTATGTGAGCGTTAAAAGTTAACGATATGTATCGCTTTCCATAGAAATCTGCATTGTTTCCACGAAATACTTTCTATTGTTGCATGGGGTGGGGTCCGTGGTGTCAGTAACCTAGAGTCCCGGACCTGTTCGCGCCAAAATCATAATTCAATACAAAAAAAAACTAGCATTACAAAGTGTATTTTAAAATTAAAACAGACATAGGTTACGATGGGGCGGACATGTTTTTAAAGTTAAAAAAAGTTGAAAGATATGGGATAAGAGGGATAGCTATGTCATGGATAGAAAGTTATTTGAAAGATAGGCAACAATGTGTACAGATTTTAAATATTGAAAAAAATAAAAAAGTGATATACCAATCCACTTACCAAGTAAATAAGACAGGAGTGCCACAAGGAAGTGTGCTGGGCCCTTTACTCTTCCTTATCTACATAAATGACCTCCCAGATATGACGGAACATAAATGTATACTATTTGCCGATGATACAACACTTATTGTAAAATGTCGAAATATTTATGAGATGAGTGAAGTTACAAATAAATCCCTCTATAAGATAATGGAATGGTTAAACGTAAATGATTTAAAAGTAAATTTAGATAAGACTAAATATATATTATTTAAAACACGTAATATTAATAATCATAACATTAATAACAACAGTATGGATATTAATTATAACTTGGAAAAAATCCATGAAGCAAATATAACAAAATTTCTGGGTATAACAATTGATGATCAATGTAACTGGAAAATACATATAGACTCAATGATGCTTAAACTTGACAGATTTGTATTTGTGCTAAGAAAAATAAGAAAAACTGTATCTAAAACTGCAGCTATAACAGGCTATCATGGATTTGTAACATCATTGTTATAGGGGTAGATATAAAGATAAATTGTGTGTGCCACCACAAAGATTGACTCTTTATTCCAAAAATGCTTTTTGTATGGCTATACGTATTTATAATAAGCTGCCAAAACACCTCACTGACATGACTTTGACGAAATTCCAAAAACATCTGCATGAATATTTAATAAATAAAATGTATTATAATATTAATAACTTCTTAATGGATAAAATTGGTAATTAAATTTAAATGACATTTAATTTGACATTTGTAATGATAATTGTAAATGGATTATTATGGTTGAATGGTTAATTATTAATTATTGGCATCATCTTTACTGAAGCATTATTCTCTGTTTTCATGTAATGACATTTAAAAATAAAAATATTTGCACACTGTTCATATACTGTAGAATGTGAGAAACTATTGTTAATAACTGTGTAACATCATTTGTACCATATTCTTGCAAATAAACAATTATTATTATTTAAATTAAATTATATATTATAAAAAAATAACGTACCGTACAACAAATACACCGCGAACAGAGTTCTATGAATAGCGATACGTGTATCGTTTAATTCAACTCTCATAATACTTTGGGCCGTTGTTTGCTAATACTAGACATAACTATTTCATTAGCTGTAATGGTTATTTTTTTTACCTGTCTGGCCGTTCGAAATATGACTCTTGATAATGATGTGGAGGGGAGCTGATGTATCTACACTCGCCGTTGGTTGCGTACGCGTAATCCTGCAGATATTAAATAAAATACACTATAACCTTTTACCAAAAGTTCACGACTCTTTTGCCAAACCATTGTAATAAGGGAGTTTTAAAAAAAACTGCTGCCTTAATTACCTATTTATTTTGTAACAAATGAAACAAATTAAATCAATGGATTTTATCGGGTTAGTGTTGCTCACTATTTCATGGCACCAATATAACACCGTGCTACAGAGTATTTGTGGGTGTTGCTGGGTCTACGTGAATAAATAAAGCCATTTCTCTTGACAATGTTTATTGTGGTGATTGTAGCAAGCAAACATCAGTTAAATGTGTTGTGAATAAAAATAAATGTATAGCAGGCACTACATGCTTACATATTAGGTCTGATATTATTATATGAATTATATGAACGTATTGATAATGAGGAAATTTAAAAAAAAAATGTTCTTGAAATTAAACTAGATGGCGCTAGGTACTTTGAATTTGTAGTGTTCAATTAAATTGTCTTTGAAATGCATTTTTGTTTCTGATAAGAGTAAGTTTCGAAAATTAATTAATAAGTCAACTTTTAAATTCGTGATTCTTTTAATATCTGTTTAAAAAAATATATTCTTTTTTTTTAACCGCTTTCTATTACTTATTATGTACTGTACGTGTAAAGGAATGACAGTTACCGTCTGTTTAAGTAATTTATTTTTACTTATACATGGATTATATATCCAAATGAGTCGTATATTAATTTCGTTAGGATAACATCATATTGAATTGTATATTTTATAAAACTCTGTATTACTAAGAATTTATAAAATTGATAAATAAAATCCATTTTATTAATTTGCACAGTTTGGCCTGTAAGGTGTTGCGGGAATATGGTATTACACGAATATATTATAAAGGTAATAACTTTTGTAGTGACAAGACACTAGAACTGAAAGTCACATTGAAATGATATAAACAGAGCTGTTATAAGTCTGTTAGTATTAAGGATAAGTAATATAAACTTTCAAGAATTGTGAACGACAACTGGAAAAATGCTAAAATAGAAAAATACCAAAACTTAACATAATACGACCAAATTAAAGTGAATAATAAAGTCACCTTCACACTGTGCGCTGAGAGCGAATGCCGAAGCGCGGCGTCCGGTGAACGGGGCGTTCGCGCCTGTAACAACGGATATACCGAATATGGTGTGTCGAACCGAATCTTTTAATTTTGCCGAAAAACATAGAAACTCTCAAGCAAAATTAAGTCATCTGCCATACAAGTTTATGTTGATTTTGAACAAATAAAATTCCTTTTAATTCCGAAATCATTACCTTAGTGTATTCGTTAAATTATCTAAGTGTTTAATTAACCATTTAAGGGCAATGTGGCAGACATTGCTGATTCAGTAAAAAATATGTAGATTAATTATTCTTCTAATATAGTCGTAATAATAAAGGCAACGAATTATTGCATAGAGAAATACTATAGCAGTGAATTTTGACACGTAGACTTAAATCATTTTGACTGCGAATGTAAAATAAAAATAATAGGTGAAATTGGTGACTAGCATGCCATTTCAAATACACGTGACTTTTAATTAAGTAGTGTTAACTATTTAATTCTAACTATGGGTTAATGAGTGCATCTGATTCCACATCTAAATATAATTATTTGTATATACATCATTATACATATTTAAAATATGTTCTTAGATGGTTTATATATTTTTGCAATAAAATAAAGTACTGTCGCCAAATAAAAACCTTTTTAATCGACTTCAAAAAGGAGGTTATCAATTCGAGGTGTATATATGTAATTTCGTTGGAGTGGCGTAATATTCATAATGTTAGTCTGAATGGACTTTTAAACACGTGTGTGAAATGTTATAGATGTATTATGTATTTTTGTCCACCGATATCTAACCAGACGTCGGTTTGGAATGATTCTTTTTTGTTTTGATTGCTTAGCTTTTAACTTAGAGTACAATACATAGGTTTCATCAAAATCGGTTCAGTAGTTTTGAAGAATAAACTATTTAAATTTAGGCTTCTTATAAAAGGAGTAAAAATTTAACAGACTTATTACAGTAGTTAAAATTAATGACCTTTTTAACTTACTTTTAAAGAAAGGAAGCCGTCAGTTTACCTACGTATTTACGTCATTAACCGACTTAAATAGAGATTATCAATTTGACTTATATGTAATTTCGTTGAAATATGGCGTAATATTCATATATACCCGGTGGAACAGAACGACCGACACTCCCGAGGTTCCTGGAGAGTACTATTTGTCTTTAATATGATGTAAAATAAATTATATGTCTAGGTCAAATAGTTTCGGAGATATTAAATTTCAAAGTTATTGGAAAAAAATGAGTGTTTTCAACCCTGAGTCAGCTGTTTTGGGACGTACTAAGGAAAAGTTTTTAATCGGTCATTGACTTCTTCATTTGTAAAAACAAAATAAACTAGTTTGTGATTTATAAGATCGCTTCCATGCAAAAAATACCAGACAATAAATAAACAAGACAGTCAAAATGCTTAAATCGATTTACAGACTAACAGCTGGTTTCTTATTTGAAAAAAGTAGATAATCTGTACTGCTTATTCTAAATTACCTAAGTGTTTTTTAATTTCACAAGTCAGTTTTATCAAACTGCTATCAACTGATCATAAAATACTAAAATCGGAAACGAAAACTAAGTGATGTTAGTTTGAGACGTTTAACTTTAAACTCTCAATTCAGAAACAGAGTGTAAAAGTTTCTAAATTATTGTAGAGAGATCAGTCTAACATTAACCTACGTTATTTTAAAAGAGCAGTTCTCCAAAAAAAACTGTTTGAATGGGGTAATACTCCTTTAACAACGGGATCGTTAATTAAACTCGATAAACTCACAAATCTTCCAGCGATTCATCATTAACACAAATGAACTTTGTTTTTAAAAACATTGAGGAATTTGTTATTAAAATAGCATTTAAAAAGAACATTAAAAAATGCGTGATATCAAAAGACGAATAAAAAAAATGTGAACCGAGTTCGTCCCTCAATATCAAAGCCCCACCCGGCTGCCAGCCGCCAGGCGGCTTCAGTATTCTGTCTGGCCTTTTGCGCTGGAGTGTTGTTGCGCATCGCCGCCGACGCACCGCTGCGAAACGTCTTTTTTTGTCGATTTTTGTTTTGTTCTAGTGCATTTTTAATTGATTTTGTGTTAAAAAGATACTACAGTGTTCGTCTTGAGTGTAAAGTGTAGTTTAGTAAAGACTGTGTTTAGTTTTGTGTGAAATGCGATGTGTTTTGCGCATGCAAAAGAGCGTGCTTAGCTCAGTCTTCAGAGAGGAAAAGGACATTTTCAGCATCGTCTATCATCAAGATATCGGTAAATTAAATTAAATTAATGTATTTCGCGGCCCATTGTTATCTGCGCACAATCGATATTACGTATGCGCGTTATAGGGTCCTCAACACATAGAAATTAAAAAAATTTAACTCTATTTTTACACCTTCTTTTTTTGAAATATTTGTCAAATAAAATAATGTTTGCATGTAACCTGACTTGAAACTTTCGGCTGTGTTGGTCATTTTGTTGCTCCCGGTATTAGTCTAAATGCGCTTCTAAACATGTGTGCTACATTTTCAGGTGTATATTATTTGTGTTATGTATGTTTGTGACATCATCATTACTCTTTTATTACGGTTTTTTGAAGTCGGTTTAATTTTTTTGACAACTGGGACGCTAAAATCCTATTTTAATTACAAAAAAAATTTTTAATTGCACTGCTACCTTTAGTCGGTGTAGGATTGTAACTGAGAAAGATTTTAGTTCGCTTTTTATAATTCCAGGGGTCAAAATTAATGTGCCGTATTAAGCGATAGTACCTTAGTTTTAAGATGCAAGATGATGATATTGGAAAACGACTGAACTGCAGCATGTCTCATAATGTATCCTTAAAAAAACTATAAGACAACACGGTCATCATATTTTCTATTTTCATTTTACTTTCTCAAATGTATTTTTCAGTTCTAACGTAAAGTAAAAAATATGTTAATCTAATTAGAAAATAGCATGAGATGTTATGATTCAAAATTAATGAGTTCAAAGGCTCCAAATGAAAAGATAAAATGGCCTCAAGACAAAATTTATTTAATAGCAATAAAAATTTAATTTCTATTGCTATTTCTTTTCAACGACACATATAAATAAATCATTAGGTACTAATATTCTACGTTTTGTCAACTGACTCGACAGCAACCAGAGTTTAAAATAATTTAAATTTATTCAACGAATAGCTGGATAACTAACAAAAATTCATTACATACTAAAGCCGGGATTATATTAAGCCTGCGCAGCGTATCGCCGTGCGCGTGTAAGAAATAATCGGCTTCAAACATTTCAACGAAATGAAATATATAAAACTAAAATTAAACAATTTTAAACGTTTCATCGCGTTTGTATTTTTATTTTGATCCTTTACAGGTTCCGTGTTCACATAAGACCAAGGTGTTCATTGTCTTTTTAATTAAAATATAAGAAATCAATATATGAAACTAATCCATGCTGCACGGCGCAACGCTGGGTACATATAATTCCAAGTTTAGATTTTGAACTTTTCATTACATAAAATTAAATTTCATGTAATATACTCACGTCATACTGAGATCTCGTCATTGCTGGATGTTCATAACGTTCGTCAGCTTCGGGGGAAGCGGCGCGTCGAGGTGATGAAGGTGACGCCTATATGATGAAAAACTTTTATATTTTATGCAATAATACATAAATACCGGGTCGGAAGTCCGAGTCAGAATCGAGTCCAGTTTCCGTTTCCGAATCAAGTTTCCGTACAAGTATCTATAAAAACGCAAAAAAAGTCATGAATGCTGTATGGGAGCGCCTTAAATATTTATTTTATTCCGTTCTTTAGTATTTGTTGTTATAGCGGCAATAGAATTACGTCATCTGTGAAAATTACAACTGTCTAACTATCCCATTTCATAAGATACAGCCTCAAGACAGGCGGACTGACAGAGGAGTCTTAGTAACAAGGCCCCGTTTAAAGCCTTTAGGAACGAAACCCTTAACAATTACAATAACGATAACGAAATAATATAAAAATTAGCGCACTGATTAAAAGCATCCTATAAAAGTGATGCAACGAATACTACTTTACCGACTACTATTCGGCGAGTACGAATAATCTATAAATTACGTCATACTAATTTCATGACTTTTTACCGGATTTATGACTTTTAACCAACCCTGAATGCATAACATGTCCTTTTTTATGGGATATGGGGCAGACGAGCAGACGGATCACCTGATGGTAAGTGATTACCGTCGCCCATGGACACCTGCAACACCAGAGGGGCTACAAGCGCGCTGCCGACCTTTGAGGGAAGAATATGATCATAGGGAGGGAAGGGTTGAGGGGTAGAGGGAAGGGAATAGGGAGGGGGGGTACCCTCACTCACACGACGAAACACAACGCAAGCGTTGCTTCACGTCGGTTTTCTGTGAGGCCGTCGTATCACTCCGGTCGAGTCGGCCCATTCATGCCGAAGCGTCCTTCTGTGTAACAACGTTTTTCGCAGTTAACTGCGAAAACGTACTGACAAGGACGTAGCTATTTCAGCGAGCAAATAATAGAGCGAGAGAAAGCACATGTGAAACATTGCCATACAACTGCGAGGACTTCGCAAAAGTTCACATGCGATTGCGTCGGTGTGCTAACGGAGTTATTGTTCGAGACGCGGTCGGGTGAATATATGTAGAAGGCAGCTGTTTAAAAGACTGGTTGAATTTAGAAGTTTTAAATGGACGATGATATGAATATTCGTATTCGGAGCATCACTATAAATCCCGCAAATTGCTAATGCGCTGGAACCTTTTCTAAGTAAAACCCGCGTAACGTCATATGAAAAAAGAAAGTATAGACAGAAAAAAAGGCAAGAGATAAATTATTTATTAATTATTGAAATATTTATGAATAATTCCATGAATAATAAAATATAATATAATAACTTTGAGTTTTTAGTTTTTGTAAAGAATCAGTTTATATGTAAATATTGAGATATATGAAAAATTAAAAAAAAGCTACATTTACTTTGTAATAACGCTATATCAAACGGAAACGACATTTTTTTTAAACATAACCAATAGTAATAATGAAATGAGAGACATATATGAGAGATATATTTATTATTTGTGAAATTATGTTGACTTGGTGTAAAAATCATAATAGCAGTTGCTGTTTCAGTCAACTATAAAAAGTAACAACAAACTTAAAAATAACAACAAAAACATAACTAAAATGATGTGTGATCTCAACACAACCTAACACAATAAGTGTACATTGTGTTAGGTTGTGTTGAGATCACACATCATTTTAGTTAATAAGTGTACATTGTGTTAGGTTGTGTTGAGATCACACATCATTTTAGTTATGTTTTTGTTGTTATTTTTAAGTTTGTTGTTACTTATTATAGTTGACTGAAACAGCAACTGCTATTATGATTTTTACAACAAGTCAACATAATTTCACAAATAATAAATATATCTCGTCATAATAATAAATATAATAAATATATACGTCAATCAGTGTTTTGTTTATTTGTTAACGGTACTGGATTTTGAACGCAATCACGTCATCAAAATGGCGGCCAGGCGCATTAGCAGTTAGCGGGCATTACAACAAACATATTCACCTGTTGGTCTGGTCGTGGCGGCGCGACATCTGGCGCGGGCTCGGGCCCCGGCTCTGACGTGTCGCTGCCCTGCGCCATGCGTTAGTACACACACACACACTATGACCAGTTAACTGACACCAGCACAACAATACACACAGAACTGTCTATCTGTTTATATGAACCGAACTGCACATAGGACCGATAAATTGTTAAAGCATTTCTCTTTGTTCACAGTACGTGTTTTTACGCAAAAGTCAAACTTCACTTTGTTTTTAAATCTTAATGGATAGAGGGTGGAGTTGAAAACCAATTGTATAGACAAGTGTTTCTACACACAGCAGCAAATCAGGTTACCATTAATTGATTTTGGACTCTGCCTACAATGAATGAAGGTTTAAAATTGAATAAGGAAATTCGTCAGTTTTGTATACTCTGATATACCTACATAACTTTATTTTTGTTTTACATGTTGTAATAGTATAATGCTGAGATACAGAGTATTATACTGAAGATGATTAGCAATAATATATTATGTTAGCAATAATAAATATGCAAATGAATACATATAAATTAAAGTTCAATATATTGACACTTCATGAGTTGGAAACTTGGAGAATTGCATCACCAAAGGTTCTTGGTTCGCATTGCACTTCAAGGATGTAAGATTCACTGAAAAAATGGAGAATTCTTTAGAAATCTGAGTGAAAATGCAAACAAAAATAATTCAAATGGAGGCGAAAGGCCGGCTAGCCAGTTTATAATTAGCAAAACGCTTGAACAAATTGCTTTTAGAAATATTCGATGAACAAGTTTAATCGATATGCACTTTGAAGTATCTAAGTTTTATTTAGTAATTTAGTTATTGCGACAAATACACATCAATAGGTTCATGTGTCATACAAAAACCACGTGCTGGGTACGTGATCGGCTGCGAAATATCCTATGCGAACCAAATACGAATAGTACTGTCAAACGGCCATCTTTTTTTGTTAGTACTCAAATGACGGCTAAGTCGTGAAGTTGGTAGCTAACTCGATTCTATTCTCATTTGACTAGCATTAGCATGGCATAATTGAATTTATAATACCAATACTAAATTACTGATATTATCAGTTCTGTGTGTATTAAGATGCTGTCAATGATTATGAAATTAATTATAAATATTTAAAAATTTTAAACGAAGACAGATAATAAATAAGTATACATTATTTACTATAATATAACATTACATAATCAAGATTTTTATATATTTTTAATTATATTGAAAAATGAAATATAGGTATCAAATAAGTTTTGTTAAACGCCAAATGTAAAAAATAAAATGACAAATATAGTTAAATATCAAGCATATTTCTTAGTAAGACTAGTAGGTGATCAAAGAGAATGCATTCGTAGACTGAGACATCAAAATATTATTAGCATCGGTAATACCTGGTCAGCTCGAGGTGGTGGGCGAGGATAGTATGGTTCTGTTTCACGCTCAGGACTCGAGTCGCAGGACCGCTGCCTTCTATACTGGCCGTACTCCTGAAAAAGAATTCACTAGTTTGTTTAATCTATACTAAAATAATAAAAAGGATATACTCGATTGTTTATTTGAATTGAATAGACTCCGAAACCACTTGAACAATTTTTTTTTTTAACCTATATAATACACTACATGAGGAGAATACATAATACACGGGTGATTATAGATTAGGCTATAAATTACACGGGGGGCGAGCGTCCCGGCGACTCGGTCACGGCTTCCCGGGTCACATCCCCAGGGGAGGGTACACCGTAGGGGTTTTTGTGGGTGGGTCTTCGGGAGCCCACCGCGTGGCTAGCCACGGGGTGGACTCACATAGGAGAGTCCCACACACCCCCTGTCGCTTGCCGGGCGGCAGGGGTAGAGCCTAATGCATTTCCTCGACGTAAAAAAAAAGCTTATAATTTACACAGGCGAAATCGCGCGAAAACCGCTAGTTCCAAAATAAAAAGCGTAGGTATCTCTACATTGTCACAGATCAGTTTTGATATTCTATTAAAAAATTGCGTCGAATACGGCACTGTCGCAGCATTAGACGTTCAATAAAGTAAAACCTTCATTCATATTTGAAGCCAGTTTCATTTGATTGAACCTCTATACTGTGACAACGCTGTGACCTAGATTCATCATAAGCTATTTATTACCTAATTGGATCTTAATGGACCATTATGATGTTAACATTGGCAGCATCAAGGACTTGTGTATTTGTAGTACTTTAATTATTTTCAATGAGATTTTGGACCTCTCTGCGTCCCCTACAAGATAAGCTTCAAAGTGTCGCCATCGCTCAAAACTTACATATTAAATTTATTACTGAGTACAAACAAAAACTGACTTACTAATATTAGAATATTGCATGTAATGCTGTCTAATATTACTAAATGATAACAATTTACTTTTATTTGATAAATTGATAAATTCCGATTACAACCTATTTCTCATATGACAAATCCTATCTCATGATCGTTCCCATTGTGAGTGCTTCCCGCTAAAGCACACTCCCGCGATGACATAGTTTCATTCTTCTTGACAATAGATCAACCGTGTTAATAGCAATTACATTAGAAGTAATTGATTGCCTAAAAAGGTCAATTCAAATGTTACTAATATACGAATAGTTACAAAAAAGCTGCACAAATTCAATTTTTTTCTGAGTGGCTTGAGTAATTTAAGGAAACGTTCTCTTTAACACAATAAATTACATCAACATCTTTACTGTCTTTTTGTATTTTTGGTGTGAAATTTCACTGTTTTCATCAGATAACAAACACACTGTGACCCTAGAGAAATGACATTATAAAAAAATATAAAGTTCCAAGAATCTTTTGCTGAGTAGGAATCAAATTGGCTAATTGTACTCAGTAATCATCACTACATAGTATAAAACAAAGTCGCTTTCTCTGTCCCTATATCTTAAATATAGCTTAAATCTTTAAAACAATGCAAGTGATTTTGATGTTTTTATATATAGGGTGATTCAATAGGAAAGTTTATGTGTATAATACAAGACCACGCGCGTGAAGCCGCTGGCGGAAGGCTAGTATGTATTAGAGTACTAAAGAGTGAGAGTTGTAAAATTGATACTTATTTCCATTCATAAATGTTTACCCGGCCCCCCGGTATTGTAACGGTGTGCCATGCCACCGTTTGTTTTCCTAGGTTTCGGTATGCAATCTTTTTGTTTTTGAAATTCAACATCATTTCATTTTATTATTCGTCTTTCGTAATTATAAATTTTGACTAATCAATTATACTCTTTATGGATGTCAGTTCGTAAGAAATTCTCCTATGTACAAGATGAAATTATAATACAATACAATATTAATGGTATAAATTTTACTATGTAATTTTAAAATAATTCATTTATTGTGATAAATAATGTGATATGGTGATACAAATTATATAACATATGTAACTACTAAATTGTAATCTGTATTTTGGACGATCCAAAAGTTAACTAGAAGCCCGACAAGGGGTATGTATTCGTTTATTTGATAAGTATGTATTAGTTAAGTAACTTACGAACTGTTTTTATAAATTTATTTTTGTTTGTTACAGTTTTTCTTATTACCCTTATTTAACTAATAAATATATACTCAAGCTAAGCAGCCTTATTAATTGACCCAAGCACCGAACCCGTAACAGGTGGTATAGTGTTGTGTACTTTGTTTCTACATTAACACATTGGTTCACGTTGGTTATCTCGTTCAGTCTGTGAATGCGGAAGTTTAGCAACTTTCGCAATAACCAATCATATAATGGGTTACCAAAATTTTGAGCGCGCAGAGGAGCTATGCTTCTGAATATACGCTAAGACATTGGTCCCGGCTGCATCGTTAACACCCACCAATCCGCGTCAGTCATGGTGAGTACTATTCATTGGGACGGCCTCTGTTATAACAGTAATAACATTAATATGAAGTTTGATGATAACAATTTTTTTATATAATAAATAAAAAATCCCAAGACCATTTAAAATTACAAAGGATTTATAAAGTAAAATTTATACATATTTTACCTGTTGTGGATAACCTTCATCGTCCGAATCCGGTATATGCTGACCACGACGCATGGCCTCTTGTATCTGATAATGTAAGAAAAAACTTTTATAGTAGTTCTATCAGTATGGAAGTCCGCTCATTTCTAAATCAATCATACTAGAATGGAATCGATTGAAGTTAACATGTAAAGTATTGGTCGATTCTGATTGGTATGTCAAAATGAAGCCCTGAATAATCTGCTAGGGTGACAAATTAACTGTCAGTAGACCTGCGCTGTCCAATAGTAGACCTAGTTATGCGGTATAACCGCTGGTCTACCTAACGCATATTAATCAGCAAAATGATTATCCACCTGACTCTGAATGATCTGTCAAAATGAAACCCTGTATAATCTGTTAATGAAATGAAAATATCTTTATTCAAGTAAGCTTGTAACAAGCACTTTTGATCGTCCAAAAATTTTTTATTCCCTACCACTTGAGGACGTCTTTTAGCTGACAAGAAGAACAAGCGAAAGAAACTTACCAGCTCTTTATCATAACTAATGACATTTACAAAATCATGTCTTTACTAAAACAATATGTATTATCACAATAATAAATACAACTTTCAAAGTCTGTAGATCATAGTTTGTACATATAATTAGTCGTTAAAGAACAAAGCGAAGGCTATTAATTCCATGCATTGCAGTCCTTAAAATAATCATTAACTTTATAATAGCCTTTACTCATATGTATGTTCTTTACATGAATTTTCAATTTATTTATGGGTAGGTCAATTACATTTTGTGGAAATTTATTGAACATAGCAATGCATTTACCCAGAAATGACCCTTTGGTTTTCTGAAGTCTGAAGCTTGGAACGGCAAGTTTCTTTTTATTTCTTGTGTTAAGATTATGTAATCTACTTTTTTTTGTGAAGGAATCGTAATGTTTTCTTGCGTATATAATATTTTCATAGATGTTATGTATGAGAGGCAACAATCTTAATAATTATTTCTTTAAATATTTCTCTGAGAGATTCTCTAGACGGTAAATTATATATAGCGCGGACAGCTCTCTTTTGTAGAATAAAAATATCTTGAATGCTAGCCGCAGAACCCCACAACAATAGACCATACGTCGTTACACCATGAAAATAACTATAACTAAAATATATTTAGGATATCAATATCAAAAGACTAATCAGGATTGACTGTCCTGTCCAATCCTAGACCTAATTAAGCGACTTATGCATTAGTCACTGCACTACCTGATGCATATTAATCAGAAAAATGATTTAAACAATACTTTATTTTGAATTAGAGAAACTCGATGGCACAGTGATTAAGCACTTTTCACAGAGGCTGGTCAAAAGATAAGTGACCAAAAATTTATAATCTCGAGCTCTTCCGTGCTTCTGAAGGCGTAGTAATCGAAATCATTGGTCCATCAATCGTTATTGGGATTTTATGTCCAATTTAAATCCTTCCATAGGCTTTTATCACAGCAATGGGGGCATAATAGGTTAGTGATAATGTTTCGAATTTATACGAAGCTTTATTTCGAACGTATAATATATTAGGATAGGTCTCTTTATTTCGTTAATAACATACTGAAACTACCTCGAGATTGTGAAAAAGAACTCAAGCACGATACAAGAGTACTGATGTCACGACCATAACATACCTCTTCGGGATGGACGGGAACATTGTCTAGTTTCTCTAGATTAGGGAGATTTCTGAGTACTGTCATCCTGTATCTGAAAAAAAAAACGCAACAAATTTATTCAAAAATTAAACTCAATATACTTTAATAAGGTGCGTAAAAAAAGAGATCAATCAATCAGAATACATATCATTGCCTATTCTATGGAAGAATACAAAATTTTGCAAAGTATTTAGCGAGATCTTGTTTTCAATGCTAATTGCACATCCAACAGATTAATCTCGTATGTCTTTTTTTTAATTTTCAAAAGTTCCGTACTTAAACCAATTATAAATGGTAGTTGAAGTTTATTGCTTTGGCTTACTTTAATACGGCTGTAGTTAGTAAACGAAGATATTTTTTTTTTCTGGTAGTGTTCTGTATTCTATTACCGGTAATCACACTTTTATGCTTATATTTAGAATATTGAATAAATTTATTATGAAAAACGATTATTTTACACTCCTTGTCACGTGACCACAAACAGCGCTTGACATCACGACCCTTTTACTCATAGCAAAACATAATAGCAACGCCATAACGGAAGTGACTTTTTTGTACACAATTTTGAAAATTAAATTTATTTTTAGATTATAACTGATTACACGAATGCTATTTTAAAAAAAATATTTATTTCATGTATGTTTAAATAAAAATTGTCTACAAACCGATTGTCGTGGTTCGGCTCCTATGTATAATTATTTTGCTGTGATCTATTATATATCAATATACATATCAATGTATGATTTATTAATTGTTTTCATTACAGTCTTCATTCCCACTAGCTATCATTACAAATCTCGATTGTTTGACGGATCTTATCATCGAATGCACAAGCCTTATGTAAATGTTTATTACAATAAATTTATTCTAGAGACGAATGCTTTCTTGTGCTAGTCTTCGATCTCTACCAGCATAGCAGGACGAACTCGAGAAACTCGAGAAATAGGGGAGGAGGCTTGTATATACTGATGTTGTATATCAGCGTCATAATCATCGAAGCGCCCAATGTAATCAAAAAGACGTCTAATACAGAAATTCCAATTTATCACGCAACCAGAGTTGCAAATTGATCTGAGTTCTCAAAATGATCAAAATTATCTATTATTCTACTAACAACTTGATTCGAATTTATCGACTAGAATACTCAATTCGAGCCGTATATGGTCGAGTAGCATTGTATCGAGCCAATCTATTCGAATCAAGTTTAGTTAGTGAGTAGATAAAATAACTTCTGTAATTCACTTATCTTTGATTAGCTTGAGCGCTATGATGATTATAACGCTGACGCTGAATATATCACTCTCGACCTGATTCTTTCAAATAAGAATCTCTTGAGTTAATCATGCTGTAATATAACTCAAATGTGACTGACTTGACTGACATAGTGATCTATCAACGCACAGCCCAAACCATTGGAAGGATCGGGCTCAAATTTGGCATGCTGGTAAATGTAAGGACGTAGGCATCCGCTAAGAAAGGATTTTGATCAATTCTACCCCCATAAGGATAAAATAGGGGATGAAAGTTTGTATGAAACTTTGTCAATTTTAAACCGATCGGGCTGGGACTGCATGCATAAACCTACTATGACGTAGGCATCCCCTAAGAAAGGATTTTGATAAATTCCACCCCTTAGGGGATAAAATAGGGGGTGGAACTTTTTTCAGGTATTTTACACGATATAATGAATAAATTCGATAGAAATGCTGCTCAAAGTAACTTTACCACGCGGACGAAGTCGCGGGAAAAGCTAGTATATTATACGCATGCCTTAGCTAGTACTCTACATTAAGAGTAATCGTATACTACTCACTCTGGATGTTGTGTGCAGGGGTTCTCGTCTAACCAGAGACTAGTGAGATCAGGCAGCCGGCGCAGGTGTCTGATCTCGTGCAGATCTCGGATCTCATTCTTGCGGACGTACAGTTCGCGTAAGCGCCGACAGCCGGCGAAGTCGCCTAGGGTACGAATTTTGTTTATACTGAAAAAGAAGGAGTACAAATTTTTACTTTATTGCTTATACATGGTATTATGTTATAGTGGTATTCATTTTTTTAACATGGAACACTTAATATCAAACACTATATGACGTTCGTGAAATCAACTTGTTAGCGAACCATGACTTTTTTATTTACACTACAAAAGAAAGATTTGATTGTTTGTCGGCATTGAGAGTATAATTTTTTTTTGTTAATATGTTTATTATTCATATTTATCGGAATATCACTATAAAATAATCGATTAAAAATTATTGATTAATCGGATGATAAATCGACATACATGTGTGAGTATACCAAAGAGTAAAAGTATATATTAGGGAATAGAGAGCCCACTCTCTAATTTTTTCATACCGTGTGAGAACGTTGATAGAAATACGTTTAACGAGATTTCCGTTAGATAACGTTACTGCGTAAATGCGATGTAAGTCATTTCAATATATTATATTGGTTGGCCATGATATTACAATAGAAAAGGATAGGTTAGTTGAATTTAAAAATGTTACCATAAAACTATGTTAATTACATGCTTCACCGCAGTCTAGCAAAAGCGTTGATTGTGTGCGTTTATGCATAACATAATCATTTAAAAAATGTTATCCTATGATATACGAAACTGTAGAACAAACATAAGTAAGTCATCTAAACACCAAGGGGTCACATTTCATTCGTAAGTATACATTTTTAATTGATTTGCGTTTTATATATAATGTGCGTTATATAAAATATAATGTGTGTTATATATAATTTGCGTTTTGTATATAACATAGTGTGGTTACAAATTGTGAAAAGAACTGTCAAAGAGTATGTAAGTAACAGAATAGACATTCCGACTTTGCCTACGCTCAACGTTACATTTATTTGAAAATCTATATGAGATTCCGAAACTACAGGGTTTGAATTCGGAGCACCGAAACGTTAAAAATTAAATTAATCATACGTTGATAGAATAATAAATTTTTTATTTCAATATCGCTAGCATTAATCAACGTCAATTCAACAACCATATATTATTATTTCTGTTTTTCTATCAGACTATGTATGTAGTGTACTTTTCAACGCTTTTCCATAGTTTCTTCATAACAAACAAAACTTCAACATTTACGCACCAAGTATCATATGGATTGCTTAGCAACTTCAAACCCCTTGTTTGGTTGCCCAACTACACCACTATTGACGTTTCAGTTTACAGGGTTAACCGTTCGATGGCGCTAGTAAAAATGTCAGCTGTCACTTGTAAGAGTTTACCCTCCTAAACTTAACCGATAAATTCATTTAAAAGTAAATCAAATTCGAACAGATTTTCGAAAATCAGTAACGTCCGCTTGCGTCACCAAAACAACGAACAGCGATTGGTCAATCTCCCGCGCCACGCTCTGATTGGCCGCGGCCTTGCCATTTGGCGTATACACGAACTGCGGAACAAGCGTACTACGTTACGGACATTAGTTCAAAGACAAAGAACTTTCCAACAATACTCACAAAACGACACTGGTAATACCTACTAAGCAAGTTTATTAAGTTTGTCAATGACAAAAATATGTGTGAAAATTGGTTTCTACACTGAAGAAAAATTGCCATCTTTATTGGATCTTTTTTTTTTTAAGAAAAAACATTTAGAAAAGGTACATACCAAAATTTGCTGATCCTAATAACTCGATATTGTCAAAAAATGTCGCTATGATTAATTAACCTTTCCAGCCGTCCGTCGAATAATATTTTCATGATAAAAAATCATGTATAAAGCATATTATCAAAAACCCACAATCAATTACGAGTACAATATATTGACTAATACTTATACACGACGGTAGACTAGTATTTTTTAATCTATTTACAGAAAATATTAACTTGGTTCAATTCTAGATGCCCACTCTTCATAAAGCATTCTAAAGAGTTAGAATTGAATTTTGAATTTTCCTTTGACAAAAAATGATAATAAATCTATCTTGACTTTTTCTAATTTCCTTTGGGGGTTATTAACAAGCGGAACAAAATGCGGCCAAAGCCCTGCTAAGGCAATACGTTGAGAGATTATCGTGAAAACAATGGAATCGCACGAATCAAGCCCCGCAATCATTCGAATACCAATGTCATTAACATATACAGTAATACGGCAATCAAAAGTTTGCTCTATGCATAAGGCACTAGGTGTTTTTCGTATAGATACCATCGTCAACTATGTAAAACTTACTTTAAAGAAATAGAGACAAACAAAATGGAGTTCTATCAAAAGGTAAGTAAGAATAATGCAAATGACTGACCCAAGCAAGCCTAGTAGAGCCTCCTCTCAAAGATACACAACCCATTACCACGTTACCTTTGAAGTGGTTGCAGTGGAATATGAAATGAGTTTAATTGTAGCTGTCATTTATCTGTCCACCGCTCACGAGGGCTTAGTGACAGTCGTGTTGTAGACAAGCGACGCGTGACCGACCACGCACGACGTAATGGTGGTGTACGTGTACAACCACAGCATGTAGCAAACACAGAAGGTACAAGAGATAAGGACAAGGTAGAGCTGTACAATCATTTAAAGATCAGTTAAAGGACAAAACATAAAACGTATAGTACAAAACATAAAATGAATGTACTGAACAAAACCTAGTCTTAGCTTATTTTATGCAAGACATAATTTTATATCATCATGCTAACTAAATCCTTTCTTATCTATACTAATATTATAAAGAGGAATTAGATTTTAGATTAATTTGCATAAAAACAGCTTATTTTACTACTGGACCGATTCTAATAATTCATCATACACGTCGTATGTCGCATCGTAGAACGATTAATTTCCCTCGGTGACATTTTGTTCTCTTACATTTTGACTCAGTACGAGGATTCACATTAAATAATACTATCTAAAATAAGACCTTCTGTGTCATTATAACACATGTAATGCGCGTGATGAGCACGCACTGTGACAATACACTGATTATCATTGATTAGGGTACAAAACTTGCTTTCTTTTCATTTATTTTGATCACGGGCTCAATTATAATGATTTATATCGTTTGACGTATGACGTATAAACGTCAATAGATGATGATCTTCGTTCCTTGTATGCGAAATGTACCGTCCTCTTTTTTATGTACTTCTCGCAAAGTAGACATCTCCATTTTCATCATTTTCGTGGTCATACCATGCTTACCCATTGCAGTGTAACCATGTTTTGTTAGGTCCCTTTCCTTTTACATATTCATAGCCATTTTCAGATTCAGATCTTATCTTCACATTCGTCATTCACGAACGCTTAATGTTTACCGCATATACATTTATTTATATGGTACGATAAGCAACTTGTATTTTTAGCGCCCATTATACATTGCAGAACTCAAAGGATCTCACACGAAAATATGTTACTAGAAAGGTCTTACACAATATTGAAATCGGGTTATAAACAATAGAAAATATTCGGAAGCACCGTTTAAATAACAAAAAAATCATCGGTCATGTCGCGTTCAAACTTCGAATTACGGCAGTGCCTAATGTACGGACAGGTCATGAACTGTCTGCCTCCTTCGTATCAATAAAAGCCATAATAAGCTGTCGAAACACTAGCAATTTCTAAAGTCAATAAAAGTCTAACATTAGAAAGAAAAGGGAGTTCATCGAGCTGGATTCGTCTTTTACATTCATAATACATAACACACATATATTTTTGTAAGATCAATAAAAATTAAGTATATTATCTATTATTGGCATACTGCCTACTATATTGTCAAAATCAAAAACACCTTTTGTAAACCTGACCGGTTTTTGAAAAAACAGTTAAAATATTTATATTACAGGTAAATATGACTAGGCATTTAATCATATAGGAACAAGGACAGCAATTATCCAAACATGTGAAGTTTGCCCTTTTTATTGCTACTATTGGTAATTATCTATAGATATATTTTAATTAATAATGAAAATATTTTAATTTAAAATCAGAGATTTATTTGTAGGTAACACAAACAAGAACATCCATTTATTGAAAATTTATAAAAAGTGTCCATTAAGTAGTAGCGAGTGAGACATTTTATTTAGACAGCCTTGTTCGATACTGAACCCTTGTCACTCCTAAATCCTACTCAGAAAAATAGAAAGAATAGCACCGGACTACGTACATCTGGGACCCAGACAGGGCGTTAAACTTGAGACTATTAATATTAGACACCCAACCCAACCTGTCTGAAAGGAAATAAGTCATGATTAAAAGAGTTAAAGATACCTTATTTTCAAAGAAATTTTACAAGAAACACCAATCGAAATAAATTTTTTATGGAACAGTCCGATTCTCGCCATGTACTGAAAGTACATGGAGACGAGGAACTTGAATGCGCATTGGTTCGTGTTAATTTTGCGAAGCGAATGTTAACATTCGCAAAGGCCGATCATAAGATATGTAACCAAAAATATATTATCTTGGGCCCTTTCGTGTTTCGGGAGGAACGTTAAGCCGTTGGTACTGACTGCATCTGCTGCATCCGCAATCGTTAAAACCTACCAATCCGTACTGGGTCTGCGTGGTCTGCGTGTGTGGGGACATAATAAGAATGCTAAGACAAAGAAATATCCCATGCAATCTGTTTAAAATGTAAAACTTGAGACGATTTATTTTAGCGATACAATGTGGCAGGATTTTAATGAAAAATAGTCCAGGAAGTGGCCAACCTCATAGAGTTACCTTTTTTAAAGCACTTTGATTTACTAGGAAATAAGTTTTTAATTTAACTTTTGCCCATAATACTTTTTGTATTTTTCATTAAAATCCTGCCACATTGAGAGCCAGACAGGGCATGACCTGGCTATATATCTAAGTATACTGAGACTTAACTTTGTAAAACGATTAAGGCTAAGCCTGATATATAAGACAATGTGTAACAGTAGATAGTCAAAAAAGCGGCTTTAGCGGGAATTAATTTAATCATTAGACGACAGGGAAGTATTATTTTTATGAATTTAAGGTAAATGTAATCGACAGCAAGCACAGTGTACTGTATAGGGTTTTTTACCCGGGTAACCGGGTCCGGGTATACCCTGGTATTTGATACTTCGGGTACCCGGGTACAAACAACTGACGTACCCGGGTCTCGGGTAATTTTGATATATGCGCGTCGGTAGACAAAACGCAATCAACAATCACAAGTCACGTTGCTTAGAATCGTAATTAAGTGATAGAATTTATTGGTTAGTACGGACGGCGGCGTACGGCGGGCGGTCAAGTAGGAGGTTATGTTACATAGCTGAGTTGTTGGAATTGCAGGTAGTTTTAGTTGAAAACTTGTGTTTGCGTTTCTACTTTCGGAGTTTACATGTGCAGTAACGATAACGGTTGGAGTTTAGGTAAGTACCTACGTTAGTAAATAGATGTTAATGTAAATGCGTGAATTTTATAACCTAAAAATTATTATGGTTTTGTTTTTATGCTTCTTGTTGCATTTGCGTACATCTAGAATCGTGTTTTTATAAATTTGTTGAGCTTTTTGTCGTTTTAACAACCTACTATACTAGCTAAGCAAGAACTTATATTTTATATCTCAATATCTTGGGTGGACGATAAGTTTAATTAGTTAAAAAAATAGTTAATTAATATCAAATAAAAGCGACAAATTAGCAAAAAAAAAGATGTAGTATTTAGAGTACATACAAAAAGGCAAGGTTTCACAGACAGCAACTATAAACATTAAGTGACAAAAGAGAAAATAAAAGAAAATATATAAATTTAAAAATAAGTATAAAAGCCTCCTTAAAAGGCCAGTAATATTATTTCAAAAACATGGTAAGGCTGTCGGCAACACTAAAGCTAATATGTAGCTTAGTGTACTCTGAAACTATGCTGAACATCTAAAGGAAAAAGCATGTTAGAAAAGTAATCGATAGTTCATCAATTCCCTAAAGCCTATTGTCAAAAGCAGAACTGGGTGTTCCCATTTCTTATCGAGGCCGCGCTGCATAATATCCATGGCAATTATATCAAAGATGATAACGTGACTAGCCCTTTTTACGTGGAATTAATCGATGGCCTCTTTGGCAGTAGCGCTGCCAAAACTAAATAATAATGTATACTACTTCATGAATGACAAATCGACTCATAAATGTTCAATATACCAATGCGGCAAACAAAATAGAGAATTTAACAATTCTTACAGACTTTTTTATCAGTTTATCTCAGTATGAAGCCATCTTTGACGGCTATAGAGTAGTTTTTCTTCTTATTGAAATGCTAAAACGAACTAAAGCAACTATACTGAATTTAACAGGATCAGACGTTATCTTGCGAAAGTCCATTGCTATCGTTGTTTCGCCGTTATATTAGGTTATATTTAATTATAGATAAGTCAATGGAGTCAAAATTATCCCAATATTCACACATTGTAATTTGTCAATATATAATATTAGAAAAACATGTCTTTCTGTTGAGCTTTCGTGTTTTAAAAATAATTGCGCTTTTGATCTTTTGGATTCCTCTTTTCAATGAGAACAATACTATAAAAATAGCGAAGCCAAGTGGAACCGGGTAAGGTACCTAAAGGTTACTTTAGCGATTGACTTTTCAAGATTGTCGATCTCGCGGAAATATTTCATAGGGTGATTTTCTTCTCCGTAATTATCTGGCAAATAAGTGAATGATCTTATGAAATATATTTACCTGAGAGCTAACACTTCCACATTGGGCATCCGCCTTAGTAAAGTCACATCGCCAAGCTCCGCTCCCCTGGAGACAAAAAGAATACATTAATAAAAAATGTAATTAACTGCTCGCCATGCGACTTTAATCATTGACTAATTTATTGGTTAATGATTAAAGTTGCATGGTAGTAATGAAAAAATTGTGTTTGACAAAAAATATACAAGATGACAACTCAGGACCAACTTGTGAGCTCAATATAAAAAGTCAAAGTTTTCAATGCAAAATTACCGCTCCCAATAGCCAATTCCAAAGCCCTGTAATCAAACCATCGAAACAATCGAAGTATTAATATCATCATAGTTAATGGCGAAGAGGCAAGGTCGTTCACGATCGATATATTTCTCGATCGTACAGAAGTAATTGATATTCTGCGCGGCAGCATATATATCCCAAGTTATTTATGGCTTTTGATCGCGAAATTTTATAGTCTCATTAATAATTTTATAGTGTAAGGTATTCTATTCACAGACACATTCGCTTGCAGTTTTCCTAATTACTTGTTTGAAGTCAGCATTTATTTATCCTTCTTCCATACTTCTCAATCAGCCCAAGTCTCAACATTCACATTCGTTTTTATTGTTTTATGCAAAAAATCTAAAATTTCTTTCTTTCGCCTACCATTACAATATTTATGCGATCATCTTAGATTGGGTGATGTACTGAGTGTGATGTATGTAAAGTTATCTGTGATTAATATTCATTTAAAGCGTCGTTACATCCTCAATAGAATTCTGTTATAGCACTTTATTAAAATCAGAATGCTGAAATATTAACTTCGATGGTTATTTTTACACGTAATGAATTTGCGGTAACCTCTAGAGGTCAGGTCATTGACAGCGCTAGAAAGTGAAATGCTATGGCTGTTTTCAATGGAAACGGTCGATGACGCAGATTTGTCCATACAGTCACTCATTAGTCAAAACTAAGTTAATTTGTTATCTATTCTATTATATATAAAGCTTAATTACCACTGACTGACTAACAATAAACATAAAATATTGATACAGAAATTTAATTGAAGAGTGTGAGAGTCATTATTAGGAGTCTCTTCCTGATGTAGAATCTATTGATTCTAGATTTAGTACATACCTTAAGGAGCTGTACTAACTTAAATTCTTTTCGTTACCGATAACTAACTACTGGATAAAGTCGTTGTTTTGTATAGACAATTTGGACACAAGAGGCCTTTCCTGTGGATGGTATCACATAGGGAGAATGAACGAACCATAACTCACCACTTGAGCCAGAGCAGATTGTTGAGTGTTAAAGATCGGTCGGGATCAACGGCTTAAATGCCTTTTGAAGTTTTTTCTTTCTAAAGGCCTTTACTTTCTCATATTTTATATATCATCAATTTGTTTTTGGTGATTTAAATAATGCTCATTTTAAGTCTCTTTACATTCTCAAAGAACGTGATATTCCTAACACATTATTTCGTATAAAGGCATATTTAAAAAGCAGCTATTGAGTTACGTCGGATTATAATGACGAGAGGCCGTAAATAGAGGTCCTTATGTAACCACTTTCGATATCTACGTCCACCGGTTTTTTGACCAAAATTCTCTACCTACGCGTTTTTGCATATCAATGATTGCCATTCAAACAACTTACAGCCAGCACAAACTTCCATTAAAGTTTAATGACGCCTTTAAGACCTAATAAATGTCGAATTTTTATCGGTAATGTCGCTTTAATTAAACTAATGACAATTTCGAGTGACGTTTTTGCAAGTGGCTGTTAAACTACGGTATTACTGCTAATGTTTTTCACGTTTTTGATTGTCACTACCTTGTAACATGTGGAAAACCTAACAACATATTTAAAACTAACCTATATTTATCAATAAACAAAAAATCTTTCACTGGCTTTACATTTTTACAGTAATTATTTTAATGCAAATTTTAAATCTAGTTATTTGTTTTTGTCTTGAGATTTGTGATGTCGACTTAAGGGGCCGTCCATTAATCACGTGATGTTATTTCAACATTTTTTAAACTCTGATTTTTGACGAAAACCCCCCCTCCTTTCGAGCATCACGTGATTAATGGACGTACCCTAAGTTTACTAATCCATTGTAATCTTCTGACCTGAAGTCAAAGGAAAGCTTTTCATTTCCATTGTTAGTTCCTGTAACTAATTCATTAGAAGACAACAAGCATATGAGGTAAACACCCTTGGCGATTGCTATACCGCACCCAAGTCGTGCCGGGTGGTGACGTCACCACTTCATGAATAGATACACCAACCCTCATGTCATGACTGTTTACTCAAAAGAACTCATTTGCATTAAACATCGACTATTTATTATTAAAAAAATAATGAAAGCAGGCCATTTCTCATAATTTAACAATGTCATAAAATAATTAGAGTCTCAGTATTCGTACCTGCTGTAGTCTATTCCATGTAATGAGAAGTATAGAGAAAGTTCACTTTATAATTTGATTATTAGGTTAAAACGCTCCTCTTATACCATTTGTGGTAAAGTTCGCGTGACGAGAAATTCGTGACAACATGAATAATGGTCTGAATGGATTTCGATTAGGCAAGGAGTTTGTTAAAGTTTCGACATCGTTGAACCAACAAGTTGATTGTCGAAATGACTATTTAACTAAAGCAAGCCACAACAAATGTTGACGGCCTGTCCTTAGCCAAATTTTAACAAATAATAAACTGTTTAATGTATTAATAAACCTTATTTAATCTCTTCGGCAAATAAATTCCCCAAAAGTATTTATTCCTATTTCTAACTATGAAAGCAGATGTTGGTTACTATCAAAATGTAGATTCAGACATTTGTACATCTACAGTGGTTCTGGAAAATTGAAAACTAGTACAATTCCCTCTAAATAAATCTGAAACAGATACAATTTATATACTTGTCAATTGTGCTAGCTATCGATTTTATACGTCCAACTGACTACTAAAGTAATGTGATTATTTATTCAAGAATTCAATACATTTAGCCCATTTTGAAGGCAATCAATCATACCGTAAACAAATATCGATACAAGTATCAACTATTCGGAGGCGTGACAATGATATTCATATGTTCATAGCGTGCGGCACGCTAACTACGTTCATAATTAGAGTACCGACATATTGTCCAGCAGAAGTATATCAATGAAATGTGCATACCTTACCTGACTTTTTCATTACATATACACTATCAATCGAAATACCAATCAAAGTGTATAGAGCTATATCGACGTCGTATTGCAAAGGTTTTTCTACAAACTATAAAAATATCAGTAAAATAGCGTGTGAATCCGCTTCAAAGGTCGTTTCACGGTATACACTTCTCTTCATTGATTTTACGCTCCTTTGAAGTCATTTTTCAACTTGACACCTTTGTATAAAAGAGCGAGAAAAAGCAACCCTTGCTGTATTTCTTGGCAGTTCTCCGCTATAATTTGCGTTCCGTTAGCGTAACTAGCTTTTCAGAAATGTTTATTTAGAGCTCAGGTTTAAATAAACTATGTCGAATCTATAATATTTTATTTTAATAATCCTAGCAATATTTGCCAAAAAAATAAATCGTTCAGAAAGTATCTGTAGCACGAAAATTTTTTAATTTAGCGTATAATGAAACGACTTTAGAAACGGCATGAAAATGTGCATTTAATTCAATCTCAAAATCAAATAGTTTATTGAAACCAGAGACAAACACTATCCCATCAGAGACAATATAGAGTACAATTAATACGTTGCCCCAATTAAAAAATGTACCTGATTTGAAATTAAATTCTGCAAAACAACTCAATATTGGATAATTTCTTATGAAAAAAATAAAAACTAGCGACAAGGAAATAGTTCATGTTATTATTAAAAAAACAGGTTGTTTTAAGATTATAATTTAAACCATTTTCTTGATTCCAAGACAGCTTTTAAATATTTGTTTTGAAAAGACAGAAATAGATTCTAAATTGGTGCCCAAACAAATGAAATATTAATAGGAACATGGGGAGCTCTTAACTCCACCTCGACCTACGCCATTATTGATTAGTAACCGTTTCTAGAAAGAAATCTCGTTTTTTATAATTTAAAAGGTTAAATATTGTAGGTATGATAGAATCGAACATTTTTACAATTTCATAAACACCAATGAAAACGGTTACTTGAATAATTGATTTACTTTCATACACGAAAAAGAAAAATATCATTCCAACGAATAAAATTTTGTTTATTCTCATATATTTTACAATAATTATATCTTATATTCTTCTCATAATATAGAACCAATTAGTAAATCGTCGCCTAAGTCTTTGACCTTTCCTCAATCTTTCTAAATAGGGTAGGTGGATTTGGCAACCACCCAACGCCCGTGGGATATATTGACCCACTTTTGAGCTTCAACACATTGTCGTTATGCGCAATGCATTGTCACAGGCAAGGAGTACCCATATCGTAATTAGAAAAATGTGTTACCTTGTTACCTTTTTGGTTAGACCATTTCTGGATACGAATACATGAGGCAAGGAAGCATGGAGTTTGAATAACTTTAGAAAAGTTACCAACCTCCATTTTGACTTTAGATCTGTAACTAATGCTGACAATGAACCCAAGTAGATGGTGTCGCAACAAACTGTTGTTTTTGATTGAATAACGGCGTCGACGGCACCCATTGTTTAGACCTTCCTCATTCGCACTCCGATGTGAAGGTTATACTCCGGGTTAGATTTTTTTAAATGCGTCGCAAAAAGTTCTGTGTTGTGTGAACTTATAGAATCTGAAAGTAGTTTTGATCTTGATTGACTTCAACTATGATGAGAAAACAGAATAATAACATTATTTATGTCTTTTTTGAAATGAGGATTGCTATACCGGAATACTGAGGGATTTATTCAATGCGAGGGAATCTTTTCCTATATATATAATCTTCGTTTTATTGGAAAAAGCTTTTAAGTTCACAATACTCGGCTTTTTGTTATCGAAACGGGATGGTGGTAACATGCGTATAACAGTGTCTCGCTCTAACAACTGCATTTGCATTTATGAGGGATAATCAAGGGTCATCGGCAACGTCA